GAGAAAGGCCAAACCCACTAAACAAATAAACTGAACACACAATTTTCACAGCATGTTCTAGACTAGTCAGTCTCATCTCTGTGCCCAGCAAGATCATGGGACAATTCCTCCTGGAATCTCTGCTAAGGCACATGGGAAATAAGGAGGTGATCGGTGACAGCCAACATGGCTTCTCCAAGGGCAAATCATGCCTGACAAATTTGGTGGCCTTTTATGATATTGCCACAGCATTGGTAGACAAGGGCAAAGCAACAGACATCACCTACCTGGACTTATGCAAAGCATTTGACACTATCCCGCATGACATCCTGGTCTCAAAATTGCAAAGTCATGGATTTGGTGGATGGACCACTTGGTGGATAAGGAACTGGCTAGATGGCCACACTCAAAGTGTTGCAGTCAGTGACCCAATATCCCAGTGGAAGCCAGTGACAAGTGGTGTTCCTCAGGGATTGGTACTGGGACCAGTGTTGTTTAACATCTTTGTAAGAGACATAGACTGTGGGATAGAGTGCACCCTCAGCAAGTTTGCCAACGACACCAAGTTGTGTGGTATGGTCAACATGTGTACTGGGACCAGTGTTGTTTAACATCTTTGTAAGAGACATAGACTGTGGGATAGAGTGCACCCTCAGCAAGTTTGCCAACGACACCAAGTTGTGTGGTATGGTCAACATGTGTGAGGGAAGGGATGCCATCCAGAGGGATCTGGACAGGCTTGAGAGGTGGGCACATGAAAACCTCATTAAGTTCAGCCAAGCCAAGTGCAAGGTCCCACACCTGGGACATGGCAATCCCAGGCACAAATACAGGTTGGGCAGAGAATGGCTTGAGAGCAGCCCTGAGGAGAAGGACTTGGGGATGTTGATGGATGAGAAGCTTGACATGAGCCAGCAATGTGCACTGACAGCCCAGAAAGCCAACCACAACCTGGGCTGCATCAAAGAAGCGTGGCCAGCAGGTTGAGGAAGGTGATTCTTCTCTTTGCTCTCTTGAGACCCCATCTGGAATACTGTGTCCAGCTTTGGAGTCCTCAACACAGGAAGGACATGGATCTGCTGGAACAGGTCCAGCAGAGGGCCACAAAGATGATCAGAGGGATGGAGCACCTCTCCTACTAGGACAAGCTGAGAGAGCTGGGGTTGTTCAGCCTGGAGAAGGCTCCAGGGGGACCTTATAGCAGCCTTCCAGTACCTGAAGGGGGCCTACAGGAGAGAAAAGGAGGGACTCTTTATCAGGGGGTGTAGTGACAGGATGAGACGTAATGGTTTTAAACTGAGAGGAGATTTAGATAGATATTAGGAAGAAATTCTTTACTGTGAGGGTGGTGAGACACTGGAACAAATTGCCCAGAGAAGTTGTGGTTGCCCCATCCCTGGAGGTGTTCAAGGCCAGGCTGGATGTGTCTTTGAGCAACCTGGTCTAGTGGGAGGTGTCCCAGCCTATGGTAGGGGGGGTTGGAACTAGATGATCTTAAGGGCCCTTCCAACCCAAAACATTCTCCGATTTTATGATCTATGATCCAGTTCCAACCCCTCTGCCATGGGCAGGGACAGCTCCCACTAGACAGCTTACTCAATCCCAAAGTAACCAAAGTAAATTTTATTTTAAATAGTGAACTTTCATGTCTTGATGTATGCAATTAAGAGTTAAGCTTAATATTTCTATTTTCAAAATTTACTTATGAGTTCTTGCACTGAATTCAGTATTTCTAGCCACCTGAGTTCTTTTCTACTTTACAGGTGACATTGTCCAGTGGAGAAAAATGTTTTCTTTTAGAAATAAGATGTTTGATTTTTAAAAAAACCCTGCAATTTAACTGCCCTGGGAACATGCAGTGACATTAGTAATTCCCGCTGTTCCAACGTCCTCTGTTCACACAAAAAAAGTGTTGCAAGATAGTAACAGAATGTGTGTGTTTAGAAATCATGGGTCTGAGCTACAAGCATTATGTTATCCCCCAGGATATACAAAATTTTAAATACAAGTAAACTTCAGTTTCGAGTATTGGATTCAATAAATATTACAGGTGGTTGGTAATGGCTTAAATGAGAGCTTTGTAAGGAAAATGTTTTTGCTACAATGAATTCCTCAAATCTACAGAGGAAAGATAGCTTGGGAATTGCTTGAGTAAATCAGGTAGCATCCTGGAATTTCTAAGCCCTGTTTTTCCTACAGTGCACATAATTACCCAGGCAGTTTTTCCCCCACCTCCCCATATTTAGTGCATATGAATTCTGGGCTCAGAACGAAGGACAGAGAAAAGCAAAGAGCTCTTCTTTCATGGTAAAGCAAAACCGGCTCAGTTATAAAGATATTGGAACAAAAAAAATATTCATGGTTTTATTTTTTATATATTTTCTTCAATTTATTAATAATCTTTTATATATATTTTTTATGGCTTTGAGCAAAGACAAAAGAAAAAAAATCTAACTCATCCCTGAACATACAATTATTGTAAGAATCAGATCTATAGTCTTCCCAGCAGCAGTAAGATCCAACCTTTTTCATTAATACATTTCATCTTGTACAGACGTGAGATTTCATACTTACGGGCGCTTACTTATGTACAGAGAAAATAGGTCAGTTCTGAAACTAGCAATGAACCTTTATATTACAGGAATGTGAGTCATTTGTTTCTTAATCTAAGTATATATACATTCATACATACATATATATATATACGTATATAATTTTATACCCTGTACCATTATTTTTTTTTAATTAACATACAAATCCTAGATATTGTCCACTCTATTACAAAGTCATTAAAAATTATTTATGGTTTCACTGAAAGACCATGTGAATTAATATTTCTTTATATTGCTTAAAATAAAATAAAAATATATATAAAAATATTTAGCTACTAACCCCATAACTCCTTTAAATGTAAACGTTAAACAGTTTGAAAGATCAGTATATGATCTTAATTAACTGACGGAATTTGTTAGTATTAAAATAATATAAGGGGTGTTGTACTGATAAATAAATGGTCTTGCAGCGCATCCATATTGTTCCAAACACTTTTAAACAATCACTTCCCCATATACTACTCTGGGCCACTTACTCAATGGCAGCAGCATGTTAATGGGTTAATTACATCGCTTTTTACCAGTGAGTGGGAGTCAGCAAGAACTGGAAGATTTTTTTAAATTTTTATTTGATGTACCACTTTAGTAGAAGGCATAACAGGCGGCATGGGTTCAAGCTCTGTTAGCTTTAGAATATTTACTTGGCTCTCAAGTACATCTGGATTCACTGCATTACGTAGTTTGTAATGTTATTTAATTTTTCCATGCATCGTTAAACTCAGCATTAATGGAAAAAGAATAATTCCTTTGCATTCACTTCCTTAGCATGAGTCAGCTGGGTTTTAAGGAACAGAATATATGCTTGTACCATATCCATAATGCTGATTTTATAATGAGTTAAACTATGACACATTTAGTTTCAATCTCTATTTAATGTGACATATCAGGCACAAATGATTACGAAAGAACTTTTTTTTTGTGGATAGGATAACGTGAAGGTTTGAGCGAACAAAACAAAACATTCACAAAACAGTATGCTTTAACCCTGCTTTCTGTCACCATTTCCTTTCTGTTTTGAAGACATAAAAAATAATAAACCTCATATCTATGGGCTATGTTTGACACTACATGCCTTAGGATATACTAACCATTTAGTTACAATATACACAGAGCAAATCGTGCATTTCCAGACAGACTTGATGCTATATTATATTTATTTTTGTAAATTAACACCACAGTCAACTACAAAACTACAGTGAAGACACAGAAAGCACCTGAAAGCCTAAATCAAGCCGTGGTTTACAAATAATCCTTTAAATGAAAAACCTCACTTCTAGACTTAAACCAGAGATTCAAAGTCAGCATTATAGGAATTTTAAGGTAGACACAATTAATGAATGGTTATTATTTTCTAAGATACCATAAAGCCTTTTTTTCCTACAATGGCTGACCGAACCTATTTTTACTGGGTTGGGTTTTATTTTTTTTTTTTGGTTGGTTTTTTTTTGTGTTTTTTGGTGTTTTTTGTGGTTTTTTTGTTGTTTTTTTTTGTTGTCTTTTTTTTTCCAAAGCATGCATGGAATAGTCTCAGGTGCTACTGAGGGCAAGGAGAAGAAAAGTGATGGTATTGGTGAAGTACAAGCGGTTTGCAGGATCAAGCGTACAATTTTGCATAAAACATTGCATGTAAAAGTAACACTGTAGGTTTTAAGCCATTGCATTACAATTTAACAGTTGTGTTGCACTTAGCTTTAACAAATTTTAAAACTGTAAATTTTGAAGTGAAGAGCAGAACCTAAATTCCTAAGCAAAGACCTTGCAATGGTACACCACACAGCAGCTATTTTCGTTTGGGTCTAAAAAGATATTTACAATGGCAATATTTATAGTCTCTGTAAAAGTCTTTAGCAATGTGAAGATTGAAGTCCACCCAGTTTTCTGAAACAACAGAAGGGTTGACATGTCGTGAGGTTACCACCTATCCAGAGGAGTGCTAGTGCCAGCCTTTTGACTGCAGGTGTTTGCAATTTATTTCTTTTCCAATCTAATTCCTAACGGAAAGTGCTAACATGAAATGCAATGGGAAATAACAACTGAATTCTCCACAATAAATTAACAACGTGTATGCAATATATGAAATAACGAAGGTTTCGGAATATCACTCAGTCAGTGCTATGTGTTCGTTAGATTGATTTTTCTTTTTTTCTTGTTTCTTATACTTGTTTGAAGTTTGTTATTGTGTCGATAATTTTTCCATTAAAGTAGCAAATCTCATAAAGAGAGAAATCTGTTAGACTGGTTTTAAAGTTGACACATTAAAAATAAGTAATATTACAGCTGAATTTAGACTCTTTAATGGTTTCAAGACAGGAAGACGTGAATTCAAACAAGTTTTTAAATTCCTTTTTTCTTTTTTTTTTTTTTGAGAGAGATATATTATATTATAGATAATTTTACATTCGTTACGTAGGGCAAAGCTGTCTAAAGTTGTTTTTTGTTTTTTTTTTTTTTTTCTCATAGTAGACTGCTGGGGCACATTAGGAAACGGGCTAAAACAGTTCTGGGGAGGGTGCTGGGTTCGTCACAAGTCTCACAGTTACCGGGGATCACAAGTTGGACGCGAACCGCGGTTTGTCTCCCTCGGGCTCTGTGCTTAAGACTGCGGAAGAATCCCTCTGCAGGGGGGCCGGGGGGGGGGCTGCCCCCCGGTTGGGGGGGATGGCTCCCGAGGACATCTGTCGGAAGAGAGAGACCCGCTGGGGGACAGTGGCCCGGCTGGCCGGTGGCACGCCGGGGCCCGGGGCGGGCTGCGGGAGGGAGGCCAGGGACTCCCCCACGGTGGGGTGAGGCCTGGCGATCAGGGTGGAGATCTCGTGGGGCAGGGAAGGCTGCGAGGCGGAGAGGGGACGCACCTCCCGGGTCAGGTTGGTGTTGTGGAGGGCCTGGGTGCTCTTGTGGACCTCGTTCTTCTGCCCGGCCCCGGGGGGCTGCTGGGGCGCCTGCGGCGGTGGTGGCTGCTGCTGCTGCTGCATGAGGGAGAGCTGGGAGGCAGTGGGCGAGGCGTACTGGAAAGTTCGGCCGGCCAGAGGGCTCTGTACTGGCGGGCTGCAGACGGCGGTGGTGTAGGAGCAGGGCGAGAGGATGACGGCCTGCTGGGGAGTCTGGGTGCTGGGCGAGGGGGAGTGCAGGTTTCCGTGGGACAGGCTGCCGGTGGTGTAGACGGGAGGAGACTGCGTCCTGACGCGCGAGGATGAGCTGGAGGTGCTGGAGTTCAGGGCGGGCATCTGCTGCAGGCTCACCGGGGCGATGGTCTGCACCATCTCCCTGTCGTGCTTCACGATCTGCTTCAAGATCTCGTTCTCCTGGTTGTTGAAAACCCCGGTGTTGAGGTCCTTCTGGAACTTCTGCAGAAGGATCGAGTTCTTCTTCCCTTCACACAGAGGCAGAAGAGTTAGCGAGCCTGAGACGCAGGGGCAGACCCTCGCTCTGACTTTGCTCTTCAGCCCCCATCGCTGAGGGCTGTACATTGTAAAAGCCCCAGCAGACACCAGGGCTGTGCTACATGGGGCACCTTGGGATGGCTGGCCTGTAGGCACACCCCGGGTGTCCCCCTCTCTCCACCCCAGCACAGCAGGCTTTCATAACACCACTGCCCTCAAACACACCTGCGCTCTCTGTGCCTCTCCACTTGCCCTCTATTGCTCTTACTACAATTATTCTGAAAATGTAACCATGGTAATTTACTGCGCAACAGGGTGGAAAAAGCCATCGGGCTCCGCATGTATAACGTCTGTCTTTCTCATTGCAAAACTGCCCTAATTTCCACTAAACTGTTACATAAGTTATAATTACACCTGCCATTTAGCACATTCCCTGGAACTAATTATTAGACATTAGTAACCAGTGACCACTAGCTTGCAAGAGATCATCTTTTTAAATGTATGTGAACTATCACGAACTCACGGATAATGGGACACCTGCTTGCACAATAAAGACAGCTGTACACTGTGTCCTGATGTCTGCTTGATGGCTCTGGGTGTCTGGAAGAAGTAGACACTAGTCTGTGTCATCAGGATGCGCAGGAACACAATTGCACTCAATTGTTCCTTATTTTTTTTTGGTTAAAACAGTTCACATTTTATCTTTTGTCCTGTATAAATTTCATATTGTAAACACAGCACTTCAGACGGGATTTCTACTCCAAGCAGCCTGGACTTTACTACTAATGCTATTTTAGCACATATTAGAGTTGGGCTACATTTCCAGAGAGTCTTGAGGATGAACTGTAAGAGGTTGTAAAGTCTTGATAAGATAAATAAATGTGAGTGCTCACAATCTGCAAAATACTAAACCAGGTCTATTAAATATTAGAAGCCTGTATACCTCTATTTCATTTTTTTTCACTCTTACTGTATTAAAGAAAACATGCTCTCTTCCAAATCACATCTTCAGTTTAGAATAGACAGCTCAACAACACTGCTCTGCAATTCTTTCTGTATTCACTTTAAAGAAACTGCAATTGAAAAAGAGTGATGTGGGGAAATCCTTACACTTGAGTTTTGTTGGGAAGTTGAGAAAGCACCAGCAAACAGGATACATGATTTTTTATGTATAGCTGCATTTTAAAACCAGTGTCAATAATGATGATCAGAGTGCAATTCTCCCAACCAAAGACCATCTATTTTGTCTGGTATGGCACATTAGAGAGGTCCAGAATGTCTGATGCACAACAGCAGACTTTGCACACCCTGTCTTGATGATCTGCCATATAGTTCTGCCTTTCACTTGGATACCGTTGGCCTGTTTTTCTGATTGCAAGCAGATCTGAGTAATGCCAGTGTGGAGCCATCAATGCCAGCAGTGCTCCTGTTGTGAGGAAAATGAGAGCCCTGCTGCAAAGGATTAATTCACTTCAACAAACGTGGGTTTTGTGAGTGCTGAGAGGCTTCAGCTCTTCCCAGCATTATAGATGTCATCTGTAAACAATTTATGTAAGAAAATGTCATCTACTGCTCGTGAAACAGCATAAACCTTATCAAGTGCTGAGCACAGCAAAAGAAATATACAGGATTAATAAATAATACTAATGATAATTGAAGTAATCCTCAGAGGAGTACGAAAGCTTTCTAAAACTCGAAGTTTTTTTATAATTTAAAAGTGAGATTGCAGAATTTCTTGTCTGGACACATGTCTTATTCATAGATCAACAGAACATTTACTGCAATGTAACAGGAAAAAAAACCTTTTAAAAGGGTTTAATCTGGCCATTTTATCCTACATCTCAAGGAAAGGAAAAGGTAGAAAGATTTTAAGAATTCCTAATACAGAAAAAAAACCACCAAAATACCTATCCTGTCAAGTCTATCAATTGCCACCGTTTCAAAGGCCCTTCTCATCATGGGGTACTCTTCCAGAACCTCGTTGAAGTTGTCCACCGATAAGGAATACAGACGACAATATGTGTCTGCTCGTACACTGGCAGTTCGACGGCCCTTGGTCAAAAGGCAAATCTCTGGGGAGAGAAAAATTTGACACACAGAGAAAACAAAGAAGGTAGTGAACCATGTGAAACTTAAGAGTTAGGAAGTGACTCAATGTTAACAAGTAATAATTCAGTACCCAGCAGCAATTTTTCTATTGCTGTTTATGCAAGATTGCAGGGGCAATTCTGAAGCTATTTGTTTCTATTTTTGCTACTCTGAAAAAATACCTAATGTCTTTAAGAGCCCCACTTATAGGTTTTCTTGGTGCGGACACTGATTTTATCGAGACTTTTTTTTAAAAAATCCTTCAAGTTGTAAGAAATGATGCATCAGCTGTCAAACACAGCTTGCTGACTCAATTAACCCAAGTGATTCTATTGATTTGTTTCAAATATCCAGCTGACATAGAGGACCAATTCCTTTAATCATTCACCAGATTTACTAAACTAATTTAATACATGATATAACGATATTTGAATACAAGAGTTGTTCTAAGAAAAAATCCTTCAAGCATGAAAATGACTTCTGTTTCCTTGGTTTTTATGTCCTAGGGAAAGGAAACTTATGCTCTTAGATTTATTTTTTTCTCATTGGACTAAAAACCAGAATAATTTTAACCTCTCCTTAGTCCATTTTATTAGTCTACTAGCCTTTCTGTGCAAGTGCCTCCAACAGGAATTCATCATTCTGGAACAAAGGAGACCAAAGGCATATGCAGAGTCCCAAGAAACATCCCCAAACTTGCAACTGCTGATTTCCGAACCCACAGGAAGAGTTACTGGTTAATGGCCAAAGCCGATGTCTGAGGCTTGTAACAGCAAAACATATGAGCTACAACATTTATTTATTTGTATTAAAATACAAAAAATCAAAAAGTCAGTTGCAAAAAGAAGTGTTTTAGTTGATCCTATTTTCAAGCTGGAGAATAAGAATACACTTAGAAATATCAACAATTCTTGGAACTGGGCAGGGTGAGAGACGTTTTCCCAACCCAGATCTCGCAGTCAAGAGCAGTGAGTTAAATTTGTTCATATTTAAATACTAGCTAGGAAACTGTCTCCTACCCTGCTTGCATCAAAAATGATAATTCTCAGTCTCAATCAAACCATCACTCTTAAGTGTGGAAAACCAAATATTCCTCATAAAAATAAAGAATTCTGCAGGCTTTACTTCAAATCTACAAAGTGCTAGCACAGTTATTTCTTTTTTTTTTTCTTTTTTTTTTTTTAATGCATTTCTAATTAATCTAGACTGTAAAGAACCTTGATGATTTTTCATCCATACTTCTTGTTGAAGAATTTTCACATGCCATCTAACCCTGAAGGTTTAGGAGCTAAGATGCTTAAATAATTGTGGATAAATCAAAGTAAATTAACGTGGGACCACTACTAGCACAGAATGTATTTAAACCCCAACAGCTATGGGGAGAATTTATAGACACTGATGGGTATTGTAAGAGTCTTGACCTGATGTTCCTTACAAAACCTGATGCCCATGAAATAATGACAGTTTACTGTAAAGAGCCAGCTGGGTCAAACAGAAGTTAGTTCTTTCCTCTTCTATGTCCCAGCTCAACCTGACCCCTTCTCCTTTGATTGAACCCACTGCATTTTAGTTACAAGAGTGAGAAGGACATTTTGCCCAAAGGGAACAGCTAAATGCAGCGAATGCCTGCTTCATTTCCTAAGATATTCTTTAGAACTCACACAGAATAAAGTTTTACAATACATGGTTGAATTTAGAGATAACTTGATTTTCAGCTTTCTGCACTTAAAATTTCTGCAGACAATACAAGAGACATAAGGAGGTGTCTTCTTCTACACAACAGACAGAAGTACTTAAGTTTAAAAAAATCACATGCCTCAAACAAAACAAATGTTCACTATGAACCCCAACCATTTTGAAGAGTGTAAAGAAAATGGAGAAATTAGTTTCTAACATTATTATTAGATGATCTCTAGAGGTCCCTTCCAACTCTGACAATTCCATGATTCCATGATTATTTATCTAGAACACTGTATTTTGGATTACTTCAACAAGAAGGATGGAAAGAAACCATAAGAGGTGATGTTGGATTTCATCACAGGACAATGGGACCATCAAATTCATGCATATTACCACAATAAATGTAATTATTTTCCCCTCGTTCATCTTTTGTTATTCTTATCAAGTATGGGGAATCGAAAGAATCACTGAAAACTATACGATGTATTCTGCAAGCCCTGTCAGCCCACAACTTCTGGTTGAAGAACATCTTTTTTGAAGGCTCCTAGAACCATAATAGAGTCTTCAAGTTAGATAAGATAATAAAGGATGGGTCAGAAAAGGTATGACAAATGTCCCAGTGCCTAGAAACTGATCAGGGAGTGCCACTGTGGAGCCTGCCTTATCAGGAAGCAGGGAAAGCTTCATGTTCTCAGCTGCAGCTGAATGGTCTCATTCAAAAGATGAACTACAGCTTTTTGACAGAAGAAATACCATGTGATGAATACCCACGTAATGCATTTCCAGCAGTTTCTTGACTGATTAGAGTTGTATTATAGTCACTGATACATCACCTATAGTGCTTTGGTATACTTATCAGCAGCATCATTTGTACTCTAGCCACAAGACTAATGTGTTTGTTAATTGTATGTGTTCTCCATTTAAATTCATTTCACCTATTAGCTGTTTGTTTGGAACAAACTCTCAAGCATAAGAAGAGATAATATATGAAATCTCATTTACTTGGACTGGAGAGGAAGAACACTGAATGTCAGAATGTGTTCTCATCAAACACTGGTGTTCTTTTAAATAAATCAAAGTAATTTTTTACTTTTTAAACAAATAAATAAACAATAGATTTCATGAAGAGAACAAAGTAATGGAAATATCCATGATATATTTAAAGTGAGTCCTAGTGGCATCAAGTACACCAGGTGCCCTCAACAATTATGCTCTCCTTGATGTTCAATTGATTTAAACAGACTATGAAATACAAACAATAGCACGGTAGTGTGCAGTGAAACACAAAGGGCGCAGACTATTTTCAAACAGCTTGGACAAACAAGGTTCTATATTAGCATAAAGAGAAAGCGGCAGCAGCGTATTACTCACTAATATTCCCATCTGTGGTTGGCATGGTGCATTGCGTTCATGCTGACACTTTCAAAGTGTCAAATACTTCTATCTTTCCTTTCCAAACAAAATAATGTCTTTAATTCCAATTAATAATTATGGATTAGGCTACAATGAACCTGTAATTCAACTCTTAATGCAAGTTTTGCTTTCATTATTTAGTGTCTTTGGACAACTGTTCCCTAGAACATTCTGAAACAAACGTCAATCATGGCACTAATGAAAAATGACTATTTGGAAAGACTAAACGATGCTAAAAGCATTCATTTGTTCTTACATTCCATAGTTAATAGAAATGTAATTAATTTGTCTGTGAAAATCACAATTTGTGTTCTACTAACATCAGATCTTTCCCACAGAACAATGCAGCTCTCAAAAGAACATGCAAAAGGGCTCAAATGCAATGTGTTTTCTGCTGTTGAGACATTGACTAAAAAGCTCAATGATAAAAGGTTAAGCTAAGCCTGTTCTGAAAGTTATAATAATAATAATCAAAACTGATCAGCAATGTATCAGTTGCACACATATATGGCGCGTGGTTGAGGGGTGGGCTTCGCAGTGCTAAGCTAACAGTTGGACTCGATGATCTTAAAGGTCTTTTTCAATCTAAATCTATGATTCTATGGCAGTATTTGAGCAAGAGCATCAGGCTTTCTTAGTCTTTGCCTGGCTGTGTAGAGGGGCTGGCTATCCTAGTAATGATTTCCTATTTCCACTTTTTATAGACCTAGGAAAAAAACTTTTTTTACTCTGGGAAGCAGTACAGTTTATCTGAGAGTGTGGCACCTCTCCATTAACTGTCAGTTAATTTTCCAATAACAATATGAAGTTGCTTTGCAGACAAAATGTGTCCACCAATAATAGATAAACTGTGTTGATAAAGGAAGTAGTTATGAGTCCAGCAGTTAGCTGGTTCATTAAAGGACACCAAGCTGGTCCTAGCTCCATGGAACATATTTCTTAGCTTAGGATATGTAGAAAATTTATACAATGAACTATTATTATATGCACAGCTTTGTTTTCAAGGACACGAAGACCAGAATTAAAGGAAAAGTTCACTTTACTAGGTGCAGGAATTTATTTTTTGTAGAAATGAATAGATGAGTTAACTAGTATTTCAGCCATATGTTGCATTCCATATTAAAATCAAGTAAAAATAATTAGCAGTTTCTATGCATTTCTGAATTACAGGAGTTTATGAAGTGCTCTGTGCCCCTCCAAAGCTGTCACAGGTTTCTGATCATCTGTCACATTTAACATTACAGGATATAATGAAGTGTCCTTCCAGCTGAGGACAGCTGACTGTTGCCTCAGTTCCTCAGCAGGAAACTTGTTTCATATTGTAGTAGGCATATACATTGCTGTGCAAATGGGCAAGCAGTGATTCAGACCATCTGGTTACTTTCAGCAGCAGAAGAAAGACAGAAAATCAAAGCAATTCAAAGGCCTGGGTCAGTCAGTCTACTGTATTAGGGAATGTTTCATGAGAACGGGACAGTGGATTAGAATCTTTTTTGTTTTATGGAGAGCAGTGAGTTACTAAACTATTATAGACAAAACTTAGAAGTACACAAGCTCTTTCCACCCACCCATCTTATAAGTCTCCAGAGCAAGTTTCCCAGAATTACCAGGTTTAGGATATTCTTTTCTACCATAACTCTTCTTAACAGCAACTCTTTGACAAGGCGCAAAGATCTATAGCTCCTGATTTCCTTCAATCTACTGAAGTTGTCTACTGACCAGAAACTAGCTAATGGGCGCTTTGTGCCAGACTCAGGAACACAGGAAGAGATCTTCAGCTTGGGGCACTCTGCTCTGAGCTTTACAACAGGTAATGTGAGCCATGTTTGTTTTTTTTTTTAGGGAAGAACTCTATAAACGTCAAACAATCAAAAAAAAACCCCAAAAAAAC